AAAGAATATTTTACGATTCATGTTAAATGAAAGACTCGTCTAAATAGAAATGTGATATTATATTAAGTAAATATTATGTCATTTTCATTCTCAAATATGTTTTAGAAATAAAATGCTTTGAATTAAAAATGTTCAGATTAGAAATTTGCTTCAGCGAAAGAAATACTTATTTTAAATTCATAATATGCATAAATATCTTGTTTCTTTTTCCAAATAATCTCACTATCTTTTTTTAAATTTCTGCCTTTTTAATTAGATTAAGACTAATTTTATTTTGAGTTTATAAAAATGCTCCTCAGTTCGTATATTTTCCATAACTTCTTTTGTAAGAAGAGATTCAAGATATGTTAATGCATTTTCCTATTAAATCTGAACATCTTAATTATCTATATTGTTAAGTATTACAAACTTCAAGGATCATTATTGTCCTTTCGGTAAATTTATGTCTAATAAATGATAAATTCGACTGAAGATGGAAAGTCAAAATGGCCATTATATTACTAACGTTGATATAGTCTTTAGCAATCTTGCACTTTCGCGTGTTATCTCGACTATATAATGCATCGAGCTGTCAGAAGCGACTTTATGCGAGTAAGCATGTAATTAGCAGCCCGCGCGCCAGGTGTCTCGTGTTAAATCAGTGATTTCGTTCAAGCCTCTCCGGTCGCGATTCGCGAAAGCAGCTTGACTTCTTATGAAAAGAAGGAAGCGACTGTTCCTGCGAAGCGCGACGGGAATTTCTAATTGTGATGACGGCACAAATATTTTTGCTGAACATGCCAGAATGTTGCTAGTTTGTCAAAATTGTAGATTATCGTCGAAGTCATGCTTTTTGTATGTGCAAGATTGCAATAAAAGAGACTTACAATTAGTAAATTCATTAAATAAAGAATACGAAATATATAGAATCGTTAAATCCGTTAAATAAAACTCGACTATTTTCGATCGCAATGCGTATCGAAAATCTTACAATTATAGTATAATAGCAATGTCTTTTTATTACAGATTCTTCTAAATCTTTGACGCAAAGCGAAAGAATTGGCTACATGAGATCCAAGCGTTCACAGAACGCTAATTAGAAGCTAATATCTTCGTGCCACTATTAGGTCTCATTAATTAAAGAGGTAGAAATAATCTTAACGATTTCGGCTTGCGGAAAATCGTTGACGATCATTTTTCTCTTTCTCTCTCTTTCCCCCTGTTGCTCTTTTCATGTACCAAACAAAAATGTTTGGCAGCAAGATGTGATTCTCCACGACACTTTCGATGTTGAAGGAAATGGAACAACGGCGGGACAATCGAATGGCCCTAAAAAGGATGGAAAAGGGCATTTTGCGGGAACAAAATAGCACCTAAACGAATTTGCGTTTAGTGCCGCTCTCATGATGGTTTGTTTTAAGATGCATCTCACGGCGCATTTATCTCAGCCACTTTAATTAAACTTTCTTTCCCAGAGGAAAGAAAATACATAATGAGAACGTTTCCCCGTGTGTATTGCATGGAGTGTATGCATATGTGTGTGTGGAGGTACTCGTTGTTTCCTCTTCTTCTTCTTCTTCTTCTCGTTGAACAATAGAAAGGACCAGCTTTGGGAAATCGATGGATTTTTTTTGCATCGCGCGTCGTCGCATGGAACGGCAATGTTGCAATGTGTTGCGTTAACTCTAATTAGGTTAAATAAAATTTCCCTTTTTGTTACAGCTCAAAATATGATATGAAAAGAGGTGAAAACAACAACTAGAATTAAATCAAGTTAATTTAATCGAGGCTAAAGTTAAAATTAAGAAGAGAAAAGTGTATCACATTTGCAATACATTTTAAAATTTCTTGAGTAAACATTTCGAAAATCTCTCGAATTATACGAATTCTAAATTTATATTCATCCGGATCTCATCTGTTCGCGATAATTTACGGCTATATGTAGCGAATGGCTAACGCAATTAAATGCAAAAGCGCTTTAATTCAACCTACGTGTTGAGGGTGCTTTGGATTATTAGAAATATGCGCTGCCGTTCAGTAGAAATAAATCCCTGCAAGAGTTAATTCAACATAATTTCAACATAATCTCAACGGCTTCCATCGTTCGTGAGTTGATTATTATTTCTGATATTTTTCTTTTAAACGAAGCGAGCCGATCATCTTTATGCTCACAGGATTATCAAGATTATACGTTTCGTTGCTGTTCGATAACTTTATCACGCTGCTTACGCAAGTATTATGAAAGATTGGATTTATTTTAGCAAACATTAAGTTAAATTTGTAGTATTGCATTATAATTATCTACTTATATCAAGCTTTTATACATCATACAATGTTTCTTGTTAAGAGAATACAGTAACAAAAAATAATACCACAAATTACACCAAATTGAAGATTATTTTGTGATTTTTTTGGGCGGTTAGCACGCTGTTGATTGAGGGCGAATACTAAACAGGTGTATATTGGGAGACATTTGTGTGTGTGTGTGTGTGTGTGTATATGTGTGTGGGACATTTAGATAAAAAACATATTACAACAGTACGTATATATGTGATTCTACGAAAAAAGATTTCAAAGCCTAGAACATTGTGAAAGGAGAAATCGAAAAACGAATTCACTGTACACGGATATTGCATTTCGGGACACGTCGCAGGAACTTAACGAACTAACTCGGTACTGCAAGAATCAAAGATGTGAGTGTCCTCGTGTCTTGATCACGCGTTTTACACGTATTAACATGATATCTCGCTCGAGACTCGCTCTAAAGTCCCATTTAACTCCGCTCGTAATTGTAGAAATTAATTTTACGACGATGTACTACAGAGCGCTCTTGTGATCGTAAAACTAATTCGTCATCTATTTTATTAGCCCCTTCCGCTGACGTCGCGGCGGAAATATAGTTCAGCTCGTTTGTTCGGATTTTATTTCTGACGTTCACATCTTTACTGCTTGCTGTCCCGACATAACGGTCACCATCGATGCAAGTATAAAAATAAAATTGTACATAGGGAGTACAAAAGTCCTAGGGAGCCCTGTCCCGTGTTGTCGTTCGCGAATAAGCGCGTTTGCTGGGCGTGTGATTGCTTAGCGAACAGATCGTTTCCGGCAGCGTTTTGTAAATATATTCGCGTTCGATATCACTTGATTTTATTTTACGACATTTCCGAACGATCCATTTAGGATCTTAATTGCGACAATCTAAATATTACGATACGCAGTCAATCCGCTTTATGCCTTGAAGAAGCTTTTCCTTTTCCGACGGGAGAAGACGCGTTCCAGAATCTCACGGCGAAGTATCGTTCATTGTCTATATTGAACGTCGTTTAGATCGAACGATTCACTTAAAGTACTTAAACAATAATTGCAACGTTTTATATTTCTCAATTTGTTCGCGACGCACTTTCGTTCTCTTACTCCGGGAGGAAAAATATGAGAAAGATCTCAAGACAAAATAGTAAAAGCGTAATCGCCTTTTCTCGTAATTTTCGAATTTCTTGATAAAGAGAAACATTTTCTTTCCATTAAAATTTGGACCATCTGGACGAGGTTAAACGGAAAATTCAATTGGACGAGCTTAATGGGTTAGAAGTCTGAACAGAGATCGGATGTTCCTCGTATCACTCTCCGACGAGAAGGCGGATCTGTACCACTAAAATGCGATAAACCGGTGGTGGGATTTGAAAGCTTTTAACGCTGATCCACGTGATCCTTCGCGACATTCTCGACGCTCTGCACTAGTGCAAACTTATACGCGCGGGATACTCCGGCATACTCCGGAATCGCCGTGACAAGAAGCTGTTTTCTTCGCGTGATACGCGCCTGGAGGAGCAGCGTCCCGTCCCGTCCAAAATAAAAAACAGGATTGCGGTTCGTAATCGCGGAACTTGAACAAACTCGTCGCACAAATAATTCCGCGAAACAACGCGGAGATTGATGATCTCTAACTTTCTACTCGGCTTCCGGCATGGCTTTAAGAAACAACCTTATCTCTCGCAGAAATAATGCAATCCTCTTCTAAAAAGGAGATGTGAAGTTTATTTTTGTCGCTTTTCCGCGATGCCGATTGGTTCTCTTGCTGCGCTTACTTCATTTGCAGCTGTCATTGTATATTTTGATAGTTGTGTGTATCAAGGAGTTAATAATGTAATAGTAATAGCATAATGGTAAAGCTAAATAGCGCGCGCGAAGCGCGCGTCTGTAGTGTCTAGTTATCTAAATTAAGCGTGACCCTGGGCCACGCGGAAGAAATTAGGGACAGAATTACGGGATAACAAGGCCTGGGAGGTAGGACAGAGACTAGGGAGGGAGCTATCGACTTTCAGGAAACGTATAATCCTGACTCCCACGACGATCTTTTAATTTTCCCACCACGTTTCTGACTCGAGCTTGAGCAGCCTGTTGGCGCGATAGGTCGCCCGAACACGCTAGCTCTTTCGAGAAGTAATCGAGCTGCCCTTTTTCGGTGTGCCTGATTCGCGAAGCTTGCCTTCGAGCGTTCATTACCCGAACGATAGGACCGATCCACTTGCCACATTCTAGACTACCTTTGTAATCCGTCGTCTTCGTTTTCCGCCTTACTGTTTGGTTACTTCTCGTCGAGGTTTTCTAGGAATTGCGCAAAAACAGGCGAAGGTACATTTACAGGGCGCGCCGTTATATCATCCATTGAGCAATTAATTAAAGACTTAAGTGGAATCCTTGTATAGGGTTACTTTGAGATTATTAACGATTCACTTATTCCGAGTCGAGTACCTTCTTGACAGCGAATGGAAGAATAATTTAATAGTCTGTACATTTATTCCACCTGACATTTGTAAATAATTTATGATATTTCATCGCTGGTAACGTATATTGCCAATATGCGTAATGGTTAAATAAATACAGCCATCGTTAGATAATATACCGCGGCGCGCCCTACGCGTTTCACGGATATATATATATACACATACGAATGTATGTACAGACACTGTAAAAACACGCTTGCCAGATGCGAGTTACCGTTGGTTGACAATCATAGGTACCTATTAAAGGGACAGCGTCCGAAGTCGTCGGCATGCTTTCTGCCACGAGGTTCAGGAAAACTGTCAGCGACAGCAGAATGGTCACTCCTGAACAGGTCCAAAAAATTAAACATCAACACTGCGTCGCAACGCGCGGGCTTAACGTGCTACCTTGGATCTCTAGGGCACCTAGATTAAGTCTTAGAGTTCATTAGGCTGTTGACGCCTGGGGGAGGGGGTGGAGATCAAGATAAAATCATGTGTACAATCACTGTCGAGTGATTTCTCTGAGTGATGCAAGTCAGACTTCCGAGTTTTCCTTCCCCGAAATTTCCTGAGTTCGTTTCAATTTCTGATTCGCACTCTCGTATCGTGATCTGACCGATTGATATCTGCTGATTTGTGAGCCCAGCTCGAACTGGGATGCGATTTATGGACTTTTCTTTCGTAAAGTTATACCGTAACATCTCCATATTTTCGACCACGGAGAAGTACGTATAGTTTAAACGATGCGATCCTACTAATGTGAAAATTTAACATATTCACCAACTTTTTCAGCGATTATTTATCGCATTCTTTACGCTACGCTGCATTTGTAGTTTTATTTAGAGAACAATGTCGTACGAAGAATGTATTTTGTACGTAAATTCCTAACAGACTCGCTAGAAATGTATAACGAGAGAAAAATAGCGAGAATCCGCCGCATCAATACAGAAGTGACTAGTTTGTGGATGAACCAAAACTCGCTGATTACGACGTGATATTAATGACGACGAGGGAATGTCGGGTATGATCCGATAGAATCTGTGCGATGACCGCGCGAATTACGCGACTTTGCGCAACATTCGACAAGACATGTCTGTGAGCTCGCTCGCATGATTAAGTGTGGACGACCGCGAACAATCAAATTCCGTGCATGTATTCCATGTAGATTCTACTCGCCCCCGGCAGAATTTCCAAGCGTGGGATTAGCTCGCAAAGTTCGGAACGTGTAGCGGACGCGTGGGAGCGCGGAGATGCGCTGTACTTGTGGAGGATCCGCAACGTTAGGCGACTTTGGTGAATCCGCCTAAGTCGCCGGCAACTCCATTACTGCGTAACAGCCTTCAAAGTGACCAGCAAAATTCGATTATCTTACCGCTCCTCTCCAGAATTGGGAACTTCTGCGAGCGATTGACAACTCTTGTCCGCGTGAAACGGACGGTCCGACCGCAAACTGATTGGGTCCGGTGAAATTGGAATTGTCATATAAATTCATGGAGAACCGAATAATTCGATTAAGAACTCAGTATCGAATGCTAATTGAAGGGTTATTACTCTGTGCAGGATATGGTATATAGGAATAGAAATATAAATGTAATATTTATGGGAGGTAACAATTTGCAATTAACCTTTAGCATTAATAAAGTTTTTCAGTGATCACATATTAGTTGGACAAAATATATAATTATTAAAATAAATTTAGTAAATAGACATATAATTTTTATGATCCTTAAAGACTAAAATTCTCGTTGTAGAATTATGTTAAGATATTAAAAATTTAGCTAGGAATTATTTGAAAAATTAGCCTTCTTATTTATATTTTATATATTGACTGAATTAATTATTGCTTGTGTGTCATGCGTGACAGAAGGATAAACTTTATTACTTTATTGTTATGGGATATCATTACGTATATAAAAAGATAACTAACTAAAGATAATCGGGCCCTGTTATACTTTCGTTGATGACCTATCTCTATTCACTCTGATAAGGACATGTGAAATCACGTGATATTCCTTGAACAAAACTAACAAACCGTGATGTCGCGAGTTAATTCCCCAAGTTCGGAGCATTACGATGGCTCTTGGAGCGTGAGGGACTTGACAATGAGTCATTAAGCTTGATGCATGTATACGTAATTAAGTTACATGAAACTTCGCTGTGGGGTACAGTGGACTCATTCTGCCAGTCGATGAGTTGCCGTCGTCATTAAATTGTCGCTCGCAAATCGGAAAGAATGAAATATGCGACGCGTCCGCTGTGGTGCTTCCGGAACGAATCTCGCGATCTCGCAGTCGACGAAGTTAACTGGAAACGCGCGCAACTGAGCCGTATGAGCAATCGATTAATAAACAATTTATGTCAAATTATATTTCTTAAAAATATCTTCAATTATCTAAAAATGCAAAATTGATCAGAAGTCTCATGAGACTACGATATTAACATTTCGAGATCGTGTAAGTCGAGGAATCTTTTCTTTAATGATATTTAAAGTCAGCTACACAATATCAATTCGGAAAAATTGGAAGTAGTGAAAAGAATACCATAAATTAGCATGTCTTAAAAAATATCCAATTATTTAAAAAACGCAAAATTTATCGGAAGTCTCGCGAGGCTTAACGTGAGCGTAACGTGAGCGTTTCAAAATCGTGTAAGTCGAGGAATTTTTCCTTCAATAATACCTAAGGTCGGTAGCAACTTCTTCTTTGTACTTTTCACTTGCACTTTAATTCGTTTAATGGCACGTTTAAGTGAGATACGATCGAATGAGAGCACCGTATTTCGATGAGATCGACGGACATAAACCGCGACAAGGTGCGTCCGCGGTAGATGGCAAACCGCCAATAACATCGGGGGTTGTCGGTCAGCGGGGGAAGGCGCGGAGCTTGAGGAAGGCTGACCAATTAGTTCCTTGCTATTAGACCTGAGCGCTCGCTGGAATACCGGAACGCGTGCGCGATCGATACTTTTTCGAAACCATCCAAGAGACTTGTAGGCGAGAAGCGCTGATCGCACGAGCTGCTTTCGCACACGTCGCACATGACAGATTATTATTCCAGAGATGTGGAAGTTTGCCGATAGAAAATATACAGACTGACGATAACAATTATAAGATGAAAAATTAATTTTTATACACTATAAGAAAAAATTTTCTGCAAATTTTCGATACCTCTGTTGTCTAATACATTCTTTTTATACTATGTGCCGATCGTTGTGACAATCATATAATTGTCATTGAAAAATATTTAGAAAATATATTAAATTTCAGTTCTATGAGTTTTATTTTATTATAATTTCGTTATAATTTCGTCATAACGTATAATAATTCTCTAAGGTTTCAGTTATTAAAATATTGAATTGTATTTTTTATTTGCTATATAGAATAATATGTTTCTAATTTTGTCATCGATTGACTTGTTTTCTTTAAATGTGCTAGGAAAATATTTGTTAAATCAGCTATTGCAAATCACGACCATCGTATATTTATGCGAAATAATATGTAATGTTTGCGTATGTACTTATTCATGCGGATACTAGGAAAACAAGTGCCAAGATTCTTCTAGTCGATATATCTAGGAAAAACAATGATAAATTTCTGACATAAAGAGTTAAAGTAGATTCGAGCGCTTCGTGTAGCTGGCACTGTGCGACAATGTTTTTTTTATAGTAGTTCCCTTCGTTGAATTTATGTATGCAGCGTATTACTGCCTTTTGCGTATAAATATAAAGAATACCGAGAAACAGTCAATGTAGATTTCTCCAGCGCATCAAAAGAAATATGGCGTTTGATTAAATAATCATTATAACTTTTCTAACCAACAATAAGTATCTTCACGTTTCCCGAGTACTTTTCTGTTTCAAAATGGTACAACATTTGCCCGTTAATTGCCACGTGGGAAGATTTTGAAATTTGCCACACAACAAGTTTACGACTTGCGTCGCGTCCCGCTTAATCGCAATAAATCGCAAAGAGCAGAACTTTTCAGACTTTTCACTACAACTTCGTTTCAGTTGATTTCCCATCCGAGTCTCTCCGCGTAACAAGTGTTATAACCGCCGCGGGAATCATGCAACCAGTCTTAATGGAATTTCATTCCGAGCGAAACGGTGCACGAAACGCTCACTTGTTCTCGAGTAAGATGATGCCTTTGGGGGATGCCAGGCATCTCTCAGCATTCATTCTTACTATCGCTATTCGATTTCGCAAGTAGACCACTTTGTTTTATTTATTTATGGATTATTTGCGAATTTTTGCGACCTCGTATATATTTATATAAATTCATTATACATTTTATTCTTAGTTCATTTTACCATTTTGTATCGTTATCTTCCATTACCTTTATATTTATATTTGTATATACATTTCTGTTTACCGTATATTTTATATCCTATATTTTTCATCTTTTACAAAACTCAAGGTATGGTATAAACGCGGATGTGTGTGTGTGTGTGTGTGTATGTGTGCATGTAATTTATTTTCTTCTCTTCTTACACTAAATTCTGTTATATTCTTATGTCTATATAAAAGACGTCACGTTTATTGGCAAGAGAGCGAGGCAGAACGGTTACATGGGCACCCACGTCGCACCCTTTGTCATGATAATGTTCAATCAAACACAGCTCTCAACAAGGGCGAGGTAGTAACGCAGCGCACGCATTTCTCTCGCATTTATCCGGTTAATGAAATTCGCGAGCGGCCACAACGAAGCCCCTCCTCCCCCCCGCCCTATCAGAATTTATAGCGGCGTGATGTTATGTAAATTTCGTTTGCGCGCATTTTTAAACATAACCAAGTGTAGTTGACGCGACATTGTTGTTAAGAGATAGCACCTATGTATATTCAGAGCGCTCAGGAGTGGTCGTGTAATTTGCAATAATGCCACTTTATATTTTTAATTGACAGTTCGATCAATTAAAATCAAGTATCCTCCTAAGCGCTATAAAAACAACTTCAACGACTGTGCATAACGTTTGATCATACAATAATTCTTATGCTTATTTTCCCGAGTCAACGGACGTCGCAGGATTAGATTCGCGTAGGTTTACATGTGGGAATTATTATCGATGCTCGGAAATTTGTAATGACCAGGATGTATCGACATTCCCGAGATAAATGTGACGTGAAGCACCGAAAGTTCCAAAGTCCCTATAATCCTCCGTGTGATCCTCGCGAAGGAAAGTTCTGTCGGACGTTAGAGCGGATTCGCGCAAGATATCCTGGACTTTGCCAATGATTAATTACGGGATGGAGGAGATAGATGTCCAGAAACAGAAAGATGTGGTTTAGGGCGAGGAGAAATGGAACTTTTTGATAAATCGAATGTACACGGCAAAAATTTCTCAAT